TAAAGCATAAGCAGTGTCTCAGAACAAGCCGTTTGCAGAATGTGTAAAATGTGACGTCACATTGCACAGGCCCCGCCCACGACTGTTGACTGACACTGCTGTATTAGAAGAGACCCCGCCCTGTGTGAGCCGCACACGATCCGCCATGTTTATCTTCACGCTAGAGCATTTAAAAGCAGCATTCAAGTAAGAATTGTCTTCTAATTAAAGTTATAGAAGTTATTCGGTCAAGAGCAGTGAGTGATTTTCTGTTTTTATTTACTGTTTGGCTCATATTAACAGCGTACACAGCAGCAGGTACTGTGCATTATGCTGCTGTCACTTCATACACAGATCTAATATAAACATGTGATTCTTTCACAGACATAACCGACTGTGTTTTTGTAATTTATGTCTGTTTATAACATAAGCTGTGCATTTGACAGTTTAAGCGCAATAAGACGCAACTTAGTTTAGTTCTCACATTCCATGTAACAGCCGCTTTCTCTGTGCTCAGAAAACACTATATCAGAAGTTTAAACTGATGTGGCTTTAAAACGCATGATTTCAGCGCGATAGACATGATAATTAAAACCAAACAGATGTTTTTTTGTCAGAGGAGAGCTGTAAAGGCTCCGCCCTATTCTGGAAAAGTGGGCGGGAAGCAGCAGCTCATTTGGATTTAAAGATACAGGCACGTGTTTCCACTCAAAACAGGCATTTTTCAAAATGATACAATACATAATCTGTGGGGTATTTTGAGCTGAAGCTTCACAGACACATTCTGGGGACACCTGAGACTTATATTACATCTTGTAAAAAGGGACATAATAGACTTTAAATTAGTGGCCACAGAGTTTTGGATGGAAATTAAAACATTTATAGAATTAAAACAATTTTAAATAATTTAAATATTTAAAGAGATTATTATATTCTTATTTTGTTAAATCATCAGAATGTATTACATTTTCTTAGAATTCCAATTATGTAAATGTTTCCCACGTTTTTTTTTTTTTTTTTCCCAATTCAAATACCAGTTCGACATCCTGTGGATTCAAATTCCAACTCATCAATAAAATGGAGCCAATTCTGAAATTCGTGTGATTCTCATATTTTAGATTAGATTATAATAGAGTGTATATATATATATATATATATATATATATATATATATATATATATATATATATATATATATATATATATATATATATATATATATATATATATATATATATATATATATATATATATATATATATATATATATATATATATATATATATATATGTATGTGTGTGTGTGTGTGTGTAAATACGTTGGTCACAGTGTTGGAGTCAGTGGTACTTTGCAGATAAAAGGGTCTGATTGCAATCAGTCTCTATGATGAGGCTTGTGAAAGGCTAATTATCATAATGACTGAATTTACTCTATAAATGTTCATTCAGCAGCCTGCGCTCATAATCACAACCTTCACCAATTCTGTTTCGTTGGCCCTCATAGCAACTTCAAGGTGACCCACACACACACACACACACACACACACACAGTCATCCCTCATTATGAGTCATCCCTCATTATGACCTACTTAGTCAACATGAAATTGACCCTATTTAATTACTGCCAAAATATTTTAAGTAATAGCTTAATCTTTGATCTGTAATGCCTCCAGTTAGTCGTCTCAGCTCTTCTTATTATCAGCTTCACATTTGACATCTTGACATCTTCAAATCTTGCTCTGAGCCGCTTAGTGAAAATGAAACTAAGTTGCCCATTTAGTTAAAATCCCTGAGCACAGCTGCACTGTTTCTGTAGTTAATGGGCCTATATGTTTACACATATTCCATTTACCAACATAAACTCTCAAGGTGTTGAAGCTGCAGTAATGTAGCAGTGCTTTAATGCTTTGTTGATTACAGAGATGTGCATACATTTTTCTCTTATAGTGGCTTATTTTGGGATCCTTCACTTAAATGAGGAGGCTGTTCTTTTTTCTATCAAATGTTGGAGATTGATGATTTGGCTCCTTTGTGATTTGTTCTGAAATCCCCTGTAGGTGATGAGAGTGGCTGCTTTTGTAATTAGCTCTGCTTGCAGAAAATTGGGTCAGCAATTAGCAAGTGGGGGGAGGTTTCAGAATTATTAATTTTTTTATTTTTTTATTTATTTATGCATTAATGGATTTATGCATTAATTTGTGAGTTTATGCATTTATCCATTTTATTATGTCTTTATTCATGTATACTTTTTTATGCGTTTATGCATTTATTAATGTAATTATGCAGTTATGAATTTATAAATGCATCATTTTGTTTTCCATTTATTTATAATTTTTATGCATGTATCGATTTTTTTATTAGTCCATTCATGTTTTATTTGTATTTATGCAATTATTTATGCATTCATCAATATATTTATGAATATCCGTTTATGCTTTTATGTTTTTTTTATATATTTATCCATTTGTTTATAAATGTATCCATTTATGTTTTAATTTGTGCATTTATACATGTATTTATGCATTTACACATTTATCCAAATATTTACAAATTTATTAATTTATGCTTTTATTTATGCATTTATCCATTTATTTGTCTGTTTATTTATTTATTTAAATACAGAAAAATGAACTTTAGTGTTTTTAACACTGTAGACGCAAATAGATTTAAATTACAGTCGAATAAAAGTATGGAAATGGATTCTGATTTTTAATAGTCAGTGTTAACACTAGTACTGCAGCTTTGTTCAGGTTGGTAATGAGTGAACTGTGGGCAGAGACTTGAGGTACAAATTGATTTTCTCCTTTTAAAATGGCCTTCCAGGGCTCTGTCTTGTACCTAATTTAGCCCTAAGAGCTAATTTTAGAGTCTTCTCCATCATGATTGAGCCTCCAATGGTTCCGCTTTACCTGCTGAACTGACGACCTTTGAGCTCGATGGTGCTTTGTTGCAGTTTGTTGGATTGGGAACACTGGAACAGATACAGTTTATGGCTTATTCTGACAAGAACAACACACTTCAAGAGGCCATCTGACTGCAAAACCGTTTTTGACTGAACTGGATTAGAATAGATTGAACCATGTTGCTCCAGGCTGGGCTGGACTGACTGGTTTATTGGGAAGTGTTGTTTTAAGTGTCATTGCTTGTTGGGTGAAGTAACATCTTTTTTCTCAGATCTTGGAAAAGTGCTGGTGCAGTAATATAGTCATTTGATGTATAGAGGTTAAACTGGCAAGATTAGTGGTCAAAATCTGTTTTCACAGCACACACTTGAAAAAAAATAAATAAATCAGAAGTCAGCACACAGTCAGTGAGGGCATATTCCATAACACACATTTGGTGAGGTCAGAAGTCAAATGTCAGGGCGCAGATTCTGTAAGGTCAGAGGTCACAGTACACACTTGGTGATGTCAGAGGTCAAAATATGCACTTGGTCAGGTCAAATGTCAAAACACATTCAGTAGGTTCAGATGTCACAGAATATACTCTGTGAGGTCTGAGGTCACAGCACAAACTTGGCTACTTCAAAATACACACTCAGTGAGGTAAGGTCACAACAGACTTAGTTGAGGTCACAGCATGCATTTGGTGAGGTCAGAGGTCAAAATAGGCACTTTGTGAGGTCAAAGCACACATTCAGTATCGTCAGAGCACACACTCTGTGAGGTCAGAAGTAACAGCACATACTTGATTTCAGACGACAAAACACTTTCTGTGAGGTCAGAGGTCAAAACACATTCAGTAGGGTCAGAAGTCACAGAATATACTCTGTGATGTCAGAGGTCAAAACACACTCACTAAGGTCAGGGGTCAAATCACCTTTGGCGAGATCAGAGGTTAAAAAACATTTAGCAGGGTCTGAAGTCACAGAATATACTCTGTGAGGTCAGAGGTCAAAACACTTTTGTGAGGTCAGAGGTCAAACACACTCTGTGAGGTCAGAGGTCAAACACACACACACACACACACACACACACACACACACACACACACACACACACACTGTGAGA